AGTATTGTACAAAATTTATGAATACCCACGTGTTACACATACTCACATTCTTTACTCTTTTACATAATAACTAGAAATTCCTAAGAAACAAACGTATTGTCAACATTTATGAATACCTACATATTACCCATATTATTTTGGCCCATACCCAAACTCAAGTTCGGGTCTTCCCGTCGGGTCCCGAGTCTAGGCGGGTCCATTGCCGCCCCTAACAATCGAGGCCCCAGTATTTTTAGGATGGGCTGAATAGGTTTGGCCCATCCACCGAGCCCATTGCGAGCCCTATAGGTTGTTTTAGTTAGGAGATGAATAACCCAACTTGAGGGAAGCCCACCCATCACCAGTCCCTACAAGTATTTTAGCCTGGAGAAGGACACTGTATCGAGCCCAACTCGAGGAAGGAAAGGTCTTAGCCAGGAATGTACATTGGAACGAAATCCCTTGCTCAAGACAGATAAGTTATTGTAGAAGCATTACCACAATGCCATTAAATGGTCAGGGTTCTTGGTTCAGTCAAAATAGCCTAAATAACGACTGTTTAGAACTTATGTAATATGTGTGTTATTTGGATCTTATGTAATATATGTGTGTATCTTAAAAATATGAACCATATGAAAAGGGGTTGCCAACTTTATTTTACAGTCTGATTAGGAGGGGGAAGGTCCTATAAAATCATTACTCTTAGTCATAACTCAAAATAAACTTATTTGACTAACCCAAACTAGGTAAACACCACGTTTAATAAGTTTTTAATCAAAATCTTGCAAGGGAACAAACCAGCACTAGTCGGTGATTCAAACTTCAACCGTTTGGAGTTTGGACTGGTTATTTCAATTAGGTCTTAATGATAACTAGCAGTGTTTAGGGAAGGGGGTAAAGGCATTGCCTTTTTTTCTTTTTTTTATGACAAATGTTCAAGGCTTTATTGAAGGCATTGGTAATTTAGCCACAACCTAATGTCCTAGGTTCTATTTCAATTGTTAACTCATAAAATAAGATAGAGAAAGAAACTAGTGGCATTTCAAAACTAGAAACCAATGTTTAATTTAGCCACATCTATGATCTAAGCCGACTCATTGTTTGGAAATATTCATTATCACAGGCGATTCACTGTTTCAATTAAATCAATCATAATAATGAATTATTTGCAGCTTGATAATATCCCTCGTGAAGTTATTAGCCTCGTCAAAAATGATAAACTTACAGGCAGTTTTATATATAAGTTTGTCTTTTTAAAATGATAATTTTACTTCGTTTTAAATAATTAGTTAAAAACCATATATTTTTAAGTATAGATAACCGCACCAAGTTGATAATTATCAAAGATATTTAAAAATTAAAAATATTATACACAATGTAAGATACATGACAAACAATCAAATAATGTAATTTATTAATTTATTTTGGATAAATTAAAGTGAAAAGAAATGTATGACAGACGGGCCCAGAGTCTTACAAGGTGAGAGAGGGATATAGGTAGTGGAGAGAGAGTACATTACGCCCAAAGCATGAGATGCCCAGTGTATGAGTATTCAAAGGAAAAAAAAAAATTGAAAACGAAAATATTAAATTCCTCTCCAAAACACAGAAAGCTTAAACTTTCCAGAAGCGTATTCTTTGAAAAAGAAAGAAGCCTAAAGTCTAACCCAAAATCATAAAGCACAAATTACTATAATGCCCCTAAAAGTTAGACAAGGTCCCAATCCGCGTCAACTTTGTATTAATAGATTTATCTTGATATAGTTCATTTTAATAGCAACATATTAATTGGACCGTCATTATCGTCATATTTTTTTTTAACGGCTATACAAATCTCAATTCGTCATTATCTTCTTTTTTTTGGGTGAGTCAATAGAGAAAAAGCCGCTAGGAATTTAGCCTAAAACATAACGTTGTAAATTGTCAAGCGCTAACCGATTGATCCTGAACTTTATTATTAAAAAATGGTAAATAAATGGGGATTTTTTAGACTAGAATGTGGCCCATTTCTTCTTTTGCCAAATAATGAGATTCCAAAATTTTGTAAACAAGGCTACAAAACACTAGCTGCCATTCAAGGAAGGTCCCAATTTTGTAATTGTGAGAGATGATTTGGTCGTTTTCTCATCGGTTGTGAGCTATTAACCTAACATATTTGCGCCGATTTTTCGCAAAAGAAATGTACGTATGAGAGCATTTAGTCACAATCATCACTCACCAATAGATGTGAAAATCAAGGGTAGAAAATGTGTTATTGACTGGGCATAAAATTAAAATCAATTTTTTTTAATCTTTGACATAGCTTCAATTTGTTGGATATCACTTCCAATGCCTAAATGCCGATTAGTGATTAGGTCTTTCTTGTACTATAATTAAATGGTCATATATTATATATTCTTTTGGGCAAAAAAGTGTAGCTATTAGACTTAGGCTCATCATTATCATCAGAGATTTTCCGAATTATTTGGGAATACATAAATCGTGGTCCGCCTTTACTTTATAAAGGGTGAAGCTATAAGTCTCTATATATTTTTCTCATTATTTTCCAACTATGCTCTTTTGGACTTACCCCTTTTTTTTTTTAAGCCTTCCACTTGAACCAACTCGTACTTCATTACAAATACTATATTTGGTCTGTGTTGTACATGGCCGCCTACCTAAATTTACTTTTTTTCATTTTTTCACCTATTGGAGCCACACATAAGTTCTCCCAATTTTATTTATTTTAAATTATCTCCCTTCTTGTCTTGCCACTCATTTATCCCAACATCTTTATCTCAACTACAGTTTTCTTATGGGTATGTTGTAACCGCCCAACATTCCACGCTAGAAAGCAAAGTTGGTCTCACAGTTGTCTTATAGAACTTTTCTTTTAGTTTCATTGGTATGCGGCGATCATACAAAACTCATATTGCACGTCTACGCTTCTCCCACCTAGCTCTAATTATTTGTACGACATCTTCCTCGATCTTTCCATTTTTGTAGACTATCGGCTTAAGATATTGAAATTGCTCTCCTTTTTATATTTCTTAACTCATTTATCTTCTTTACTCATATTATTACTAAACTTACATTTCATATATTTTGTCTTAGTTTGGCTAATTTTAAAGGGTGTGGTTTATATAAGACTAAGGCTCTAAACAATCAAACTAGGGCGCACTTTCAAATAGTGCCAAATTTTGTTGTCTCAGATTTAGAAATCTTTATGATAGCCAAACAAATTATTTTCATCTTTAATTATAAAATCTACCGTTTAAAAATAGTGTTGATCAAGCATTCTCTCTAATTATACACTTGTTTTGGGCCTTAGTTTTGCTAATCATTATCTCTCACAGTATCATAGTGTGGTTCAGATGTTTGATCTTTCAATAGTTCACACATTTTCTGTATGTCTTATTTGTTCTTGTAAATGGCTACTACAATATTTTTCATCCATTCGTATGCTATATTTTTTTTCTCAACACCTTTTTAAACAATTTGGTTAGTCAATCAATGCCAATCTCCCCCATGCACTTTCAAACCTGTATCATGATACCACCGGTCTTAAAGCATTTTCTATTTTCTTCCTCTTCAAAACTTATTTCACTTTTGGTATCCTAATCCTATGAATGTATATATGACATCTGACCTCATTATGCTAACAATCTAAGAAGGGTGAAGATCTTAAACTTTCTCTTAACCCGTCCTATGCCTGCGTAAAAGAGATAGGTTGTGTTAGATAGACAACCAATGTAAATTTTTTTACCAAACCTTTCTATGAATCTTGAATTTAGTGTACGTTTAAGTTCTAAAATAAAAAGTAAAGTTGCATGCTGGAACTTAAAATGAAAAATGTTGCATCAACTAGCTTTGAAAATCCATCGACATCGTTAAAATCTAGTTAGAAGCTCACAAAATGATTTAGATTTGACAAATCTACGAGTACTTGAGAATGAACGGTATGAGAAGCACAAAAAACTGATTTAGATTTGACAAATATACGAGTACTTGAAAATAAACAGTTCACATATATATTACAATAGACATTTTTTTTTTTGAGTTTGAAATCTAATTTTCCCCATACATTGAGAGATAAATTTATTGGCTTTCTCATGCCAAAACTGCAAGCAAGATGCGGCCTTATGCTAACTTTTAGGAATAAAATGAGCAAAAGGGCACATGGAACGTATTTGGTTTGGGGTTATTTTTACGAGATAATTTATCTGTAGTTTAAAGAGGTTACAATGACTCTCAACGATTGGATGTTAAGGATGTTATATTAGATGATTTGGAATGTGCCACGCAGTTCAAAAAGTTCATTTTTACAACTGCAAATCTGGCGAATTACACTCTTATTACCACCCCATTTGAAAATTGTTAAATATAAGTGACTATAACTTTTTTGTTTTAATAATAAATAATCATTTTGTATAGTTTTCTACCCATAAACCCTCATTTTTTTTCTAAAATATGAAAATTTTCGTTTGTGGAAATTACAAAAAAAAGTCAGTCAATCCATCCTTTTTTATTTTATTTTTCAAAATTACACTTTTGGACTAAATATATATATATATATATATTTTAGTTTTTTTGTTAGTAGGCCATCACCCTAAAGCTTGGGGCACTGCCCTACTAACAAAAAAACTAAAAAAGAATGAAGAAAATGCATACCAAAGATTTCAATCATCAAACCCAAAGATAATTTTAAAAAAAATAAAAAAAAGGAAAAAAAAAACACTTAACAGGCTTTCTTTGTAATTTCTACTTGTAAACGTTCGTATTTTAAAAAAAACGTTAAAGTCCGTATGTAAATCACTCTTTTCGCGTATTTCCAAATTAATATCCCTAAAGAAAGGGTATGTAAATCACTCTTTTCGCGTATTTCCAAATTAATATCCCTAAAGAAAGGGTATTCTCAATATTTCTTACTTACTTATCGTCGCTCGCGGCAATATGGGCGGTGGTCGAAGGTTATTTTTGTCATTTGAGAAATCTTAGGGTCATTTACGTCAGTGTTCCAAATTAAATACTCTGCAACTTTTCTTGACTGTCGTGACGAGAGGGGAGGGAGAAGTGAGATTTTTCAGTTTTAAGAGAAAAAAATGAGAACTGAGATAGGTGTGAGTTTCATAGTGTTTTAGAGAGAGAGAGAGAAAGAGAGAGAGAGAATGGGGTAAAGATGCGCAAGATTTTCAGAGAGTTTTAGAGGGAGAAAAGAGGGAGAAAGTGAGATTTGGAGGGGGCTTTAAAATAAGCGCCTTTTGAAATTTGTTCAAACGCTGTTTGTCTGATATGCCTTGAAGAATCCTTTTTCTACCCTTTTTCACGGCTGGATCCAAACCAAAAGGCACACAATTATACATTACTGTATATACTGTCTTCTTTTCTCTTTGTTTTTATGCTATAACAAGCTTTAAAAGAGAAAAGAAGCAAAAATGGCCGACTCAAAAGGAAAGGCATTCACTTCATATTCTTTGCGATGTCAGATCTGAAGGTTTCAAGTTTTTCACGCTTTAATCCATGGCGTTTTGATGCTTTGCGTCGCTGAAAGAGTTTGAGAGAAAATAGACTGCGAAAGCTGCTTCTAAGGCCTATTCTTCGGGCTTTTTCATGGCGAAAAACTTCGAGGACAGGGTATAAAGAATTGTGCGATGAAATCAGGGTTTTGAGTTATTTATCCCTGCAATTTTAGTCAAATTGAACGAAATCAGAGATTTTATTTGGAGCTTTTGGGCTTTGATTATTCGGTTTCAGTTTATTGGAGACATTACTGTATTTTGATAAAGAAGCGGGCTCTAACTTTGAGTTCTGTGATCGCCTATCTTTAATGAGAGACCTTTGTCGAAGATTTTAGGTGAAAGCTCTCTGTTTCATTTATTATGCCGCCTTTGCACAGTGAAAACCTCAAAGTTTCTGGTTCTTATTTAAGCTTTGAAGAACCTTAGCCTTTTCAGCCCTAATTTCTCTGGTTTTCTCCTAAATTAATGGTTCCCTAACTTCCATTAAAAGCCTCGGTGCTGCTCTTGTTCGGTTTCTAACTACCAGCTTGAAGCAGAGAGTTCGCTGAAATTTCATAGGGAAATCGCCGAAATTTAGCCGAAACTGACAAAATTAATGGTTCTATTGAGAATAAATTGCCGACGATAAAAATCTGCAACGAAAATGGCGTCTGAGAAGCTTGCATCAAAAGGCCAGGCATGGTAAGTCCTCCATTTCATGCTTCTTCTTTCCGTTTTTTTTTTCTCAATTTTTTCTTTTCCTTCCTATTCTCATTACTTTTTTTTTTATAGTTTATGTGTCCATTTCCTTCTATTTTGTATTTTTCTGTGAATTTAATGGCAATGCCCTTGAGTTAAGTGAAAAATTTAATGAAAAGTTTGTATATTAATTAGGTTCTGTACAACTGGACTACCCAGCGATATTGTGATCGAAGTAGAAGGCATGTCCTTTCATCTCCATAAGGTAATTAAAAGCTTTCATGGTGTGTATGCAGTTTCTAAAAAATTTTGGCGTTTGCAGTTTCCTTTTTAGAGAGAGAGACTTGGTGCTTATTACGAAGAGGGCTCTTGAAGAGAGAGAGAGAGAGAGGGAGAGGAGTATTCTGAAGCTTTCCAGCCATGACGTCCCGAGGGAGAGAAAGAGAGAAGGGAAGAGAGAGTGTGTGATTATGTGGGGTAGAAAATTTTAATTAATCATAGAATTAAGACCGTTTTTAAAGTGGTCAGCTTCTTTTCGCCTTTGCTGAATCTTTTGATTTCCTTTTCCAAAAAACCAGAGAGATAGCCACCTGATTTCCACCTCAGTTTTCTTATAATTGTTCTTTTTTACGTAACGCTTATTTTGACTGTTATAAATAACGGGAGAGTTTTCTCATTTCTGAAACTATTTTCCGACTTCTTATCCTTGTTATCTTGGTTTTTGGACGACACCGAAACATGAAATTCCGAAATTTCAGTAGGTTTGAGGATTCTATAAAATCATTTCCTGCGTATAACGTACTCGGATGATAATTAATTTCTACTTTTGCATAATGTTAAAATTTTGATTGGACTTCCTCTGGAATGGAGGATAGAAGAGGAAGATTTCGGCAAAGATTTTGACCGAAATTTCGTCATGCGAAAGGGGCAGAGCGAACCTAATTAAGGCTGGAGACACACGCACAAGTGGTGATGCCCCACTACTTCCTCCTGTTTTCAAGACACATTTTTGCATTATCTTCCAAATTATTTGGTTTTGTCCACATGGCTCTTAGTTTAAGACCTTTTTCCCATTATTCAAAATTTAATATTTCATGGTCTACGGAGAGAGAGGTGGGGGCGTGCTAGTTTGAAAAATGGGCCTTGGCGCCATCTTCTTTTCATTGAATTTCAATTCATCGCTAGTTTTGAATTTGTCCATTTCATTGAAAACAAAATAACGAAAATTTTGTCCACCATCTTCCAACGAAAGTTACACAACCAACAAATATTCGTGCATTAATCGATAAAAATGGCATCATGCACAATTTTCACAATAGTAAAACTTAACCATTCTCTCTCTCTCTCCATACACAAATTGGGCATTTAGAAACGGATCGTCCTGCAACTTCAAATCAAAAGCCGTGAACTTTCTCTCTCTAAATTTCTTGAGTTCGTTGAGCGAAAAGTGTTAAGCCTTTTCAAAATCAAAGAAAAACTTATCAATTCTCTCTCTTTGTGCAGTTCCCTTTGTTGTCAAGAAGCGGAAGGCTTCACAGGCTCATATCCCAGCAAGAAGCGAATCCCAAACCCACCTCCTCATCTCATCCTCCCACCCAAACCAGAAAAGAAAACCCACATCAAACACCAGATCAAGAATATTTCTCTGAACTAGAAGAGGAAGAAGAAGATGAAAATGAAGAAGACGAAGAAGAGGAAGCTTGTGTGCTCTCCCTTCCTGATTTACCAGGTGGTTCTGAAGCCTTTGAGCTCGCTGCTAAATTTTGCTATGGAGTCAAAATTGAGCTCTCAGCTTCAAATGTGGCCCCCCTTCGATGCTCAGCTGAGTACCTTGAAATGACAGAAGAGTTCTCTGAATCCAATCTCATTGCAAAAACAGAGACATTTTTGAACCAGAGAGTCCTCAAAAGACTCACGGACTCAGTAAAAGCCCTGAAATCCTGTGAAACTCTCATACCAGTTGCTGAAAACCTAAATATAGTTCAGAAATGTATAGACTCAATTGCTATGAATGCTTCTTCTGATCCATCTCTCTTCGGTTGGCCTGTGACAGAGCAAAATGGTGCCATTTTACAGGGAATTACAAGCCCTAGAGGAGCCATTTTATGGAATGGGATCGAAACAGGGCTAAGACCAAGAAACCCCATCAAACCAGACTGGTGGTTCGAAGAGGTTACAGTGTTGAGTCTCCCCTTCTACAAACGCTTAATTTCCGCCATGAAAACCAGAGGCCTGAGCTCTGAAACGCTAGAGGGTTCATTAATTTGCTATGCCAAAAAATTCATTCCTGGCCTTCAACGCCGTAATCGTGCCTCTTACTCCCAGTCATCTACTTCCTCGGGGTCCATAGCCTCTGAATTAGAGCAAAGGGAGCTCTTAGAAGAGGTGGTGAGCCACTTACCTACACAAAACGGCCCAATTTATACAAATACGAATGCTAATATGGACACCAATACCAAATTCTTGTTTGGGTTGCTTAGAACTGCAAATATATTGAACACATCAGAGTTTTGTAGAGCTACGATCGAGAAAAGGATTGGAATGAAATTGCACCAAGCTAGTTTAGATGATCTATTACTTCCTAGTTATTCTTATTTGATTGAGACTTTATATGATATCGAGTGTGTTGCGAGAATATTAGGGTATTTTTTGGAGGGTCGTAGAAATATACGGTCCTCTACGGCTGGTGAAAGAGAAGAGGAAGATGAAGAGGGAGATGGAGATGGAGAGGAAGAGGAAGAGTTTGAGGGTTCACCAGCTAGAAATCCTTTGATTTTGGTTGGTAAATTGATCGATGGGTATTTAGCTGAGGTTGCATCGGATGCGAATTTGAGGCCTGAAAAGTTTTATGATTTGGCCATTGCTCTTCCTGATCAAGCAAGGGTGTTCGATGATGGGTTATATCGAGCGGTAGATGTTTATCTCAAGGTACGGAATTTTCGCTTTCACATATTTTTTTTTTATATGAATTTTTGTTTATTTTCTTGGCCAATCTTGGTAGAAGTTGGGTTAGAAAAACCTAAGATTCGGATGGAAGACGCATAAGCCCCAAAGTTTTAAGAAATTTTATTTTAATATACAAGATATAGGATTATATGACCTAAGACCATTAATAGAGCAGGGACCATGATTCGTGAAGTTGGCCCAATTAATTAAAAAAAAAACTTTGATGAGGATAACAAAGTTCATGGAACTTGGATTGAGAATGGGCAAGCCCATTCTATGTGCCCAATATTAATTTGGACATGGGATGTCCTCGGTCGGTCCTGGACTCGAAAATTGCTCAGGTTATCAAGAACTGTTGTAGTGAACCAGCCATGATTCACTATAGGAACTTGTCGATTATCCAGTATGTTTTATTTTTGACATTTTTTTTTGTTGTTGTTTTGGCTGGTAACTGGCTGGGCCACCTTGTCCTAGCCCTAGTGGGGCTGGTCGGGGGCGAACTGGGCTACTCCTATCATGACACGGGCCCATGCCTGGCCCAGCCCTACCCTTGATCCATGATGGTAGAGCGGGCAGCCTAATGCCGGCCCTACCATACCTTAATTGGCGAGCCCAGTCCAGAATCAGCTACAGCCCCATCTCAGGAATTAACAAGCCCACTCGGATCAACTTGGTTAAATTGGGCCGGATTCAAACCCGCACTCTTTTTTCTCGAACGGTCGTTGAGACCTGGGCTTAAAACTGTAGTTTTCAATCCTAAGTAGAAAATAAATTGTCGAAGACTATCTTATCAGCCTAGGTAATCTTTGGAGATTAGGGAGTCCTGGATCAAGTGGTTATTAGGGTGCTTGGGATTGAATTGCAATTTTGCCCCTTATGATTTCGTGGAAAAAGAGGACAAGTTTGTATTCCTGCAGGGATACGTTCACAGTTGAAACTGACCTCTGTATGTTTTGAATCTCAATGGTGTCGGCTCGTTTAGCTCCCATACTCATTCCTCTTTTCTTCTCGATTTCCAAGTCAATCTAAAGTTCTTGGGATTCATATCCATTTTCTATATTCCAAAAATTGATTTCCACATAGATAAAGGGGGAGAGCTCTGTCTCTTTTGCCTTAAGAGGTCATTTTCAGGTGTTATGGAACTTCAGCTTTACTCTCTCTTTAGTTGGCGCTAGGCTTTACTTTATCAATGCTTGCCATCATAGTTTTAAAACTTGGATCAGCGGTTCAGCGGTTCGTATCAGATCGTTGGATTGGGGATTAGTTTAAAATCAATGATTTATATAATGTTAAAAAATAAAATAATATACAAATGAAAATAGGTTTTATGAAGTGGGGATTTACGGGGATCTAAAAAAATCTAAAAGAATTATCAAATAAACTTAAAAAAAAAAGAATGTAAATAGGGGGTTTTAGAGGGAAGCTGTTCGGTACCCATGCTATCACGAAAGTGGTTCGGTCCCTATTGATTCCCCCATCTAAATCGGTGACCCGGGTTGGGTTTCCAAGGTTTAAAACACTGCCAGCAACTTTAGAATAAAATGAAAGATACAGTTGTGGAAAACCTACTCCCTTCCAAAATAAACCCCTTTTTTATTTGGTCCTTGGCCTTATTCATAAGATTGTTGGTGGGATCCATCGAATATAAATTTCCCCGGGTCCTCCATCCAAAAGATTAAATAGTGAATTTCCAAATTTTGGATGGTATACATAAGTTTTTCGTCACTCAAAATGCAATTTCTTTTTTTTTTTTTAATGGATCCCAGATATGTAAAATAAAAAAACACAATTAGCTCCTTTACCCACGAGATCAAATATATAGTTTGCTCCTGCAGGAGTGTGCTCTACGTGCTCTTTCTTTAAAGTTTCCCCGCGCACCGCAGGTTTACCCACCTTACTGAACACGCGGGTCCTGTCACGTCGGACTGTTTGATTGATTGATACTTTTCACTAGAACAAATCTTGATCGTACATTTCGAGGCCCATTTAGGGAACAACGCTGCGTTGCTTGTGGCCATACCCTTACTCTTTGTCGTTTAGGAATTAAATCGAAGGGCCGTTGGCTTACTTACCCACAAGCCTACGATCAATTTTGGCCAAATTTTTGAAATTCGGATCATTTGGCTATATATTCGGAGAGTGCACGAAATTAAAATGAAGGTTGAATATCGATCCACCTCCTATAAGATAGAAGGTGCCCTAAATATCCTGTAAAAACGATTGTTATGAAGTCAGAAAACTTTCAAATTGACAAGTATAGATGATAAGTACATGTATAAGGATTATATATAATGTGACAATTTATTTTTAGCACAAAGAGGTCAAAATTACTTTTTAGCAATTAGATGTGAAATTTATTAGATGAAAGTATGTTACAACTTTCGAAAAATTCATTTCCACATCCTCAATCACTTGATTTTAAATCTAACGGTAAGTGATAATTGTGACCTCATTATATAAAAAATAAATAGTCTAATAATATAACATTTCCACATTTCTATAGATTTAAAAAAAAAAATTTAAAAAGACAAAAGTTTATGAGGTTGCAACCTTAACATGTAGAATTAAAAATGCACCTCAAAAATCCATCATAAAGGGTTGTTTGGATGTTTAAAACCCATTTAATTGATCATATCGACATTGAGATGTATAAATATGAAAAAAAAAACAATTCGATTATGCAAAGTAGTGTCCCTTGCAACACATCATTTGGATCATCCATTTTCAAGATTTTCATGTGTTTTTTGATCTACTTGATTTGAGCTATTTTAGAGATTGAAATAGATTCTCAACCCATCCTAAAAAAAATTTCACATCTTGGAGCGAGTTATGTGGGTCATCTATTTTCAAGATTTTTAAGTGTATAGATATGCCTTTTTTATATTATAAAATTTATAATTAATATTAATCATGGATTTTACATCTTTGGTTAAATTTTAAAGGTGCGCACCTTTACAAACCACACCCGGTTTTTTTTCTTTTTCCTTTTATTCCACTTCTAAACCTCAAATTCAGCCTAAATTCCAGCGGAATTTCTTCATGTCACTTTGGTTACTATTCATGTCATTACAAAATGCAAAAAGGTTTTCCATGGAATCAGATAAATCCCGAAGGTCTACGATTCTTGTCTAAATAAGTTTTTAATCGCTGACTGCCGAAATTATGCCGAGATTCAAGCAAATTTCGTCTCGTAGTCTTATAATAAATTCGAAATTTCCATATTCAAAACTCTTAGTTGGATGGCCCATTCTTTATGCAAAATTTTAAGGAGCTACTCCAATTTTTCCGAAAGTTTCGGTTGGACCTGATTCATACATACTCTTCTCTCTCTACTATATATTCCTTTATGGAAAATGGTTTGCGGCCCTATCAAAATAGGTGAATCGGCACTTCATAACTCATGGAAAATTGCAAGTCAAGCTTTAGAAAACCTCGACATTGATCATATGGACTCGAACATCATAGTTGTAAAAAAAATTCTGATTTCAAACTCCAAAAATAATATATATCGTAACGAATTATGCTGGTTGTTTATTTTACCTTCAAAACATTTACAGTTCTGCAATATTTATATCATTTTTTTAGTTTCAAATTTTATTGTCCCATTGGAAATTGATTTGTAAGCTATGGTAGAGAATTTTTTTTTTTTGTTGTTGTTGCTGAAAGTACTTTCCGGAAGAGGATTTAAAGTGAGGCTTTATTTTGTTTTCATAAAGCCTAGGCCTTGTGAAAACCTCATTCTTCATTCATTGATACCAGAGGAAGGGAAAGAAAATGTATGATCGGTAATGAATTGCCAAAAACCTGATCTCTCTAAAATCTCAGGCTCATATATTGATAGCAGAGGAAGAGAGAGAAACGATATGAACTCTAATTGATTGCGAAAAACTAACTCCTCTCTGTAAGTTTTCAGGCTCATCCATTGATATCAGAGGAAGAAAGAGAGAAGATATGCTCAGTAATGGACTGTCAGAAGCTAACCCTAGAAGCTTGCACACATGCTGCCCAAAACGAGCGCCTCCCATTAAGGATTGTAGTCCAGGTCCTCTTCTTTGAGCAACTTCAGCTCCGTCATGTCATCGCTGGAAACCTCCTCAGTTACGGCCAACCCGCCGGAAACCTAATTTTTCCAAGCCAGCCTGCAGGAAACCTGGAATTTCCTGCGCCGGATTCCGGTCAAGCATGGCGAGCCGCTCTGCGTGAGAACCAAGTTTTGCGGCTTGATATGGACAGCATGAGTGCTCGTGTCAAAGAGCTAGAGAGAGAGTGCTCGACTATGAGGAAGGCTATTGAGATGATCGGTAAGTTTGCCGGCGAGAAGAAGGGAAATTCCGGCCCAAAACTCAGCGCGAAAGTAGACGGGAAAAACGGGGCTTGGGGGTCACTTACGAAAAAGTTTGGGTGCAAGTTTAAAACGCAGGTTTGTGATTCGCACGAGGGGACAGTGATAGAGGCCAAGGGGCGACACGCTCGAACCTCGACTTCAACCTCGCTTTCTTAGCGCGTGTGGTTTCTTTTTTTAAGTTTCTTTAATTATATTTTATCGAGTAGGTTTCAAATTTTTTTTTGGAATGAGATGCAAGTGTCATCATTTGGAAGATTAGTAGCATTAATTTCTGCATTATGTTGGTTTCAATCTTTATTGGGTGGTGGGTAATTTTTTTAATATTTTTAAAAGACTTTATTCTTTTTTTAATTGTGTTTATCAGGGGCTTAGTTGACGAATGGATGGTGAGAAACTGAAACTTGGACGAGCAGTTCTTTTGCCTTTTTGGGGTAATAAGGAGCAGTTATTCGTTCGGTTATGCAATATCGATAGGGTTCGTGTTGTATAGAGCCTAGGCTCCAAACAATCAAATTAGAGCCTACTTTCAAATAGTATTGAGGAATGTAGTTTCAATACTGAAAATATTTGCGATAGCTTTAAAATGTATTTTCATTTTTATTTATAAAGTTTAAAGCTTCAAAAATAGTGTAGATTGATGGATCTATGAAAATTTGAAAATATTGAAAATTAACGGTTTAAAAATACATTACAAAGTACACTATTTTCAAAACTTGATGCATCTTGATGTTGAGATGATCAATTTGAGGATACTTGGGCATCAAAATAACTTCTTCGAGTGAAATTTTTGTAGTAGGCTCAAAGTCGATTGTGTAAAGCCTCGGTTCTATATTAACTTTTTTCATATATATATATATATATATAGTTGCGTCTAACACAATTTATTGAGAGAGAGAGGTGTCCGTAGGACAATTTAAAAACTAAGATTTTTTTGAAAACGTCTTATAATGTTGCGGCTACAACGTAAGTTGAGCTCCATAACACAACTATAGAGAGATATCCCATATTATTGAGTTATAATTTTGCCCAACATTCTAATTATGAAGCAAAGCAATTCAAATAGAAAATAATTTCAAGTATTGGGAGAATTTTTGTATATATATATATTCTTTCATTTTCCTGTCACAAAAATTTAGTATGGGAATGCTAACATTTACTAGCTAACAATTACAATGTAAGTCCAATGACCTAGATTCAGTATGGGTCAATATAATGGTTATGATTGTATTTTGTATTTTTAATTTTTTTTACAAATCCAAATTATTTGAAATTTTGAGTGTTTATTCTTTAAAATAAGAGAATCTAATAAAAATATAAAAAACGTAATTCGTAAAAATTAAATTGATTAAATTACCCCTGAAAATTTCATGGTATTTTGGTCATTTTTTTGTAAATTATTTTTAAATATTTTTATTAAGAGCACCTTGATGAAAATGATGGATGCCTAAATTTCCATGTGATTTGGATTTACAAAAAAAATATTAAAATTACATTATGAGATGATGTTGTGACGGTCAATCTGAAACGTTGGGCTTACTAGTGGGCTGGTCCCAGCTTTTTCTTGGGTGGCCTTTGCTGAAAATGGCGAACTCATTTTCCACATTTTCTCCTAGAAATTGAAATTCATTTCAAAATTTTTATTGCATAGATGAGTATATACGCAAATAAATTTGATGTCCAATGGACCCTAAATTCCAAAGCAGTGAGTTTGTCTGGGAGTTCGGATCAATCACTTCCCACACTTTTTATTTTTATTTTTTTATTTGTCTTTTTAATTTTTGGATCACACTCTTTCTCCTATCTAATGGCTACGGATGATTAAAAACGGTGGCTTGGGGGTGCCTGGGCTAAAAGTAAGAACTGAATAATAGAAACCCGATTTATGGGTGTGGTTTGCGTGAGGTCGCAACCTTCTTACTTTAAAATCTATTTTTACTTTTAATTATGAAATTTTAAACTCAAAAAAATGTTTAAATCATGCAGATCTATAAACACATACATTTTTTTAAAATAGACGGTCCAAATAATGTGTTACATGATGTACTATTTTTTAGAGTCAAATTTTTTATTTTTAAATTTTTTTTCATATCCATTCATTTTGATTTGGAGATGATAAATTCTACGTTTTAATCTATAAACCTTTTTCTTTATTTATACTTTCCCCAAGTGCATTAAAACTCCAAACCGGATTTGCTTCTAGGGAAAACCTAGATCACCATCTTGCCAAATTCAAACCCAGATAAAAAAATTCTCGATACAAACCGCCACAAGGTGTTAGAACACTCCTTTCCCCACATACTTTCTCTTGGGTCGTTCACATTCTAGAGAAGGGAAAGACGGCGACTTTTCCATATTTTCGCTCAAGTGGACCATTTTAATTTTGGAAAAAAACGTTTATATAAGATTGCGACTTTATGCTATAGAAGTAAGGTGCATATAAAAAATTCAGTAGAAAATAGTGTTTTGAAGTAAAAAAACATTGTACTTGATCATCTCGAACTCGAAAGAGTATAGATATAAATAATAATAATAATAATAAAAAGCCATAAAACAATGCATATTGTAATAAGTTATTTGGAGTAGTCTATTTTTACTATTTTTAAGTGTTTATAGATATGTTTGGTTTTGCATGGTTTTCATAATTTTAAATCATAATTAAGGTTGAATGTGAATTTTCAAGTCTTGGTAAGGTTTCTTATAAAAGAATTACATGTTGAGGCAAAATTTAAAATTGTGCTTTGCAACACCCTTTCAGTTTTAATACCCATTGAATTTTAAAACCAAAGGTCTTTAGACATTTTCACTTTCAAATCCGTGAGATCTCATAAATTGATTGATATCATTTGGGAGTTTTACCCTGTATAAGTAAATGAAAGCACATGAATCATAAATGTGCCCTTGTTTGAAAGGTGGCGTCCACCCTGTTTTTGGTGAGGCTCTTTTCATTCGTTAATGCTGTGTCAATGGCACCATCCATAAATATCAGGCTCATAAATAAGAGTTAATGCTCTTCTTTTCGATTTCAGCTAAATTTCGTTTGATATAGGACGCATTCTTTGATATAAGCGGTGGATTGGAATTCTACTCTAGGTGCTGTTATTGAGAAATAAGGATATGTCAGTGTGAACGTTGGTCAGTCCAATCAAATCAAAATTTAGGTTTAATTATTATTTTTGTTATTTGTAATTATTTTTTTATTAATTGGACTAACTAATAAGATAAATAATTTTTTATATATTTTTAAGCTATTACTCTTATTTTTTAAGTTGTAATGTGTATAAGGTTGGAACATTAAACAATCAAAGTAGGTGCACCTCCAAATTTTATATAAGATCAAATTTTGGTGTGAAAAAATTCTTAGGATAGCATGGTAATCTATTTTCATCTCTAATTACAAATTTTTGAACTCTAGAAATGGTTCAAATTAAATAGATCAATACACACGTGAAAATCCTGAAAAATTGACCGTCCAAATAATGTCATGTAAGATGCTCTATTTTTTTTATACCAAATCTTTTTTTTTACATATCTTTATATTTTCATGTCGAGATGATCAATTATAGGGTTTTTCAACATCGAAATTTTGCATTTTAATTATAGGGGGGTTTTTTAGGCATATCTTGATTTTGCATTTTAAGGTTGCAACCATATATAAACTTTTTCATATTTTTCATATTGATATCCAAATGTCTACAAGAGATGAGCTATTTAACAATCTACCTATATCTTTTGATTTTATTTTAAGTGATTGTATATTATGAGACTGGTCAGTTTTGGTATAAGGTGGTCACCATCACTTTTAGTTATTGGATGTGAAATACAATAAATGAAAGTGTGTTACAATATTTAAATTTTTTTATTTTGGACTCTGTGCCCAAACATTGATTCATCGACCACTAAATTTCAAATCTAATGGATAGTGGTGATTATAACCTCATTATATAAATCTAACCAAGGTGCATATGAAAATTTTAACAAAAATAAATTTTGGATAAAATAAATTGACCAAAATACCTTTTAAAAGTTATAGGGTTATTTTGATCAAATTATTTTATCCAAAATATTTTTTTCATAAGATATGCCTTGTTTAGATCTATACCTGCCTACAATTTCAAATCGATTTGATTTAATACACTCTCGACCATCCAATGAAAAACAGATGATGAAGAGCTAGCCTAGATTACTATTTATTTTTGGTGACAACCTAGTAGTTTGCTCAATTTGTGTGAGATAAGACCAGTGATGGGCATTTCCTACTAGAGTACTTTGACTTGCTAATGAGTTCTAATGCTCATGAGCACGTTTGATTTTTGGAAAAATATTTTTATTCGGAATCATTTTTGTGCTTGAAAGAATTTTAACAAAACATCTTGGGCATCTGCTTTCCCATGTTTGTTAACTTATGGAGTTCTTTGATAAATTAGTTTCTTTCATTTGATACGCTATATGATAAATTGTCTTGCTAATAATTTGAGTAACCTATTTATAACTGTTCATTAAAATTTTTTAGGCCGGTTTCTCTAAGTCCATGTAGAAGTGAGTCACGTCTTAAAACTCTATTTTTGAGATGGATTTTGGACCTAATTTTCAAGGACATGTAATCTCTAACATGATGAATATGAATATATAAATAAATTTTTAAAATTAAAATTAATAATTCTATTAAAAAAATATTTGAACAGTTAGTTTCAATTATTTTTAATTGGACCACTTATTTGCATCAATCTTAAATCAATCTTTAAGATGTTTTATACCTCAGGGACTGAAAAAGTAAAAATGCAGTCCCCAATATTCCTAATTTTTATCCAGTAGATATTGAAAATTGACCAAACAATGAGTTTTTTCTAAAAATAACTCTTCCATGGTAGGAGTTGAGATGAAAGTTTCAAATCACGAGTTCTTCATTTTTTATTATTAGCTACTTTCTTTCTCTAACCGGACCATTACCGGTCTGAAGCCTGAGAAAGAGAATGGTTGTAAATGTTGGCAGCTAACAGAAACCTTTTACCACATTTTTATCATAAATTAAGTTACTTTCTCTCTCTCTCTCCCTAGTCTTTTTTTTTGTTGAATGATAACCTTGGAGCTTGGGAGGCATGCATGATGACACACCCCACCCTGACAACCCGGACTAAGATCCCACTCTTTTCTCTCTCTCTCTCTCTTTCATTTTTCCTTTTTTGAGCATTAGTTCTCTATCTATCTCTTGCCCAATACATTAATATTCAACTGAGTACCTTATCAGCAAGTTACGCTAATGGGACTTCAAAAGAATGAAACCTTAAAAAACTAACTACCCACAAAAAAAAGAAAAAAAAACCTAAAACACTATTCTCAAGTCTCAACCACTCGATGAACCATATCAAATCACATATAGCACCTTCCCCCATGACACATGTTGATGATAAAATAAGCAAGTATGATACCAATATAGTTGCTGTGCATCTAAATCTCATGAACTTGCCATGAGAAAACAATTTTAAACTCAAAGCAACAACATAGAAAGTAATACAGCATCAACCACAACAAAAAGGCCAAATTTAAGGTGGTGCAGACACAAATTGTGATCTACATCCTTGGCAGAATGATACGAGGTTACAATGAGAAACAAGGCCCTCAAACAAAGAGCTCTTTCTTTCCCTAAAATGTCCCTTATACAGCACAGCTAAACCCAATGCAATGGGTTCCTCTTTCACACTCTTTATCTCTTGAACGTGGCACACAATAAACCCACAAGAGAACTCATACTCTCACTTTCTTTCTCTAACCAAAAGGATTTTCAATTCCTTTTACGAGAATAGCTTCTACAATGACTCATTCACTACAACCATTGGATTAATCTGATTAGCTAAAAACAAGATAATGAAAAGTAAAAATACAACACGCATATCTGCCACAGTGGCACACATGTAATTTGGCTTCACACATACGACATCCACAGCAGGCATGCCCGCAAACATCTTGTTAGGATGCACATCTCTAACCACTGAAGCAATTCCTTAGTTGCAATTCGAAGCAAAGAGGATCACGGGATGTTGGGAAAATCATCAAGGGTGATTGAACTCTTGAGGAGGCCTTAGACAAACAATCTTAACTCTTCCCATTCAAAGGAGCATTTCGCTCCAACTCACGTCGATGAAAGTATTATAAAAGGGTGCAGTTAGAAATAGAATCACAGAAGAGCTCGCAGGTAGATATCATGACAAAATAATCCACAATAGAAGGTAGTAGTATGGTAGTCGGCTCAAACCTTAGACAACATCGACTGAAAACACTAGTGCTTGAGAAATCTAACATATATCCATGCAGCCTATTTTGTAGCCCAGTTTCTATTCAATGAGGAACAAGACAGCTGATGAGTGATGAATAATGTGAGATGCTCAATTATCCTAAATTAGAGTAAAGGCATATTATCAGGAAAAAAATCATCTGATGTATATTCTTCGACTGAATCCAATCTCATAATATTATTTTAGAATTCTCATCCATTGTAGTAGATTCTTATGAAAGGAAAAATATTTTAATATATTCAAGTATTGCATATCCCTGCAAAACATCATCCCACAATTACAAAATATTGAAACCCAGAAGGAGATGAATCAATAACAGTTGCCATCACAGAAATCTAGTTGCAATAATATCAATTTTTTATCTTGAAAAATATCATACAAATAAAGCTACTTAAACTCACCAAATGAAGGCTGTGAACCCGATTACTTGAAACAATTGGGGGAAGTAGTTTGCTTGATTCCAAAGTCTGACTATATCTAGATAAACCAATATAGATGAGAAAGTCCTTAACCCACATGAAATAAATGTGATATTCACTATTGAACTCCATGCCATGAGTCACCCAAAATATCCCATTACACTGCTCTTCATAAATTGAAGAGTACAGGCACAAGAATAAATGATTAATGGCTGAAAAGAACAATATTGCTACATCCACGAGCTGACGATCCCCAAACTTTGTCAAAAGGAACAGCCTCGTCATGGGCATCACTTAAATCTTTGAAAAATTGATTCCAATAGAGATCAGAAATTATTGGCATCCACACTATCCTCAAACATGATTGGATGAGAACTTCATTTGGAGAATGACTCATCTTTAGGAATACTCCTTCGGATCCTCTCCTGTTAGGACCTATAGACGAAAGGATGGTCTCAACAACACAGATTTATCAATCGCAAACTAATTATAGTCGAACTACGTTAAGATATCAAAGGAAGTGTGTCTCCTATATCAAAGAATTGAGAACTATTTATTTAAAAGAAAAACAAAGAAGAAAGAATAGAGAACTTGAATCAGAATGCAAAGGACAAAAAAAAGTGACATACTAGTACATAGTGAAGATCTCTCCACCGTAAACCTTTCGCATTTCCTAGCTCGTTGTCCTTGAGTTCTTGAAGAAATTTTTTGGGAAGCCTTGCCTATATAATGCACTGAGCTACCCATTACTGTGGAAGTACTATGACTTTTCTTTACAATCGGTCGTATGCGTTCTACAAGAAGTTTTGTTTCCCTTGCCTGATTCAGTTTCCAAATTGCAATTCCATTTGCAAATTAGAATTGAGACCTACAGAAGCTTACCCATATGAAGGTCCATAGCCTCAGTCCTCACCGAAATTTCCGCTTTTGCACCCACTTCTCTATGTAACTTTGTTTTCAGGACTATTGAGAAAACCCACGCAAGTTTTATGTTATGGTTCTCGCTAAGTTAGGAAGCATATCTTGTAATAGAAACAAAACTCAGAAATTGTAACAAGATAGGAAAGTGTATATTGCATATTACAAGATAAGAAAGTGTATATTGCAGATGACAAGATAGGAAGGTGTATACTACACCATTGCATTATTATTATATATACAATGAAAGAACCACCACAAGATTAATGTGGAGCATAATTATGAGCTCAAAATATCCTAATCATGTCTGCAAATTCAAAAGAGCTTTATATGGCCTCAAGCAAGCATCACGGGTCTGATTTGATCGATTTAGTGCCTATTTATTATCATTGGGCTTTTATTGCAGCATAGTTGATTCATCTTTATTTGTTTCTCGCACTACTCAACGCATTATTATCTTTCTCCTTTATGTTGATGATATTATTGTTACTGACGATAATTCAGATCATCTAGAATTGTTCATTTCCCAACTTGGAAGGGAATTTGCAATAAAAGATCTTGGGCCTCTTCACTATTTTTTTGGCATAGAGGTATCTTATTTTTCATGTGGAATTTTCTATCGCAAAGCAAATATGCTCGAGATCTTCTTGATTGTGCTCAAATGCTCGGTGCCAAACCTATTTCAACACCAATGATAATGAAAAATAATATTCATGGGAATTCTGATCCATTTCCTGATCCATCTCTTTATCGAAACATTGTTGGTGCACTCCAATACATTACCATAAGTTGACAAGACCTTTCATATAGTGTTAATACAGTGTGTCAATTTATGCATGCTCCTGCAATTGCCCATTTTCAAGCAATTAAGTGGATTCTTCATTATCTCAATGGTACACAATCATGTGGTACAAGAATCTTGTCTGCTAGTTCCCTTCAGTTATATGCCTTCTCTGATGCAGACTGGGCTAGGTGCCCAGCCACTCGTCGTTCCTGTACCTATCTTGGTTCCAACTGCATATCTTGGAGCTAGGAAACCATCGACTATGGCTCGTTCCAATGCTGAAGGCAGAATACCGATCTATGACATCTACTACTGCAGAATTGGCATGGCTTTCTTTTATTCTTTAGGATATTGGGTTGCCTCTTCCTCAGCCACCAACACTTTTTTGTGACAATATTAGTGCTCTATACATGACAGTTAATCCTGTTTTTCACTCACAGACAAGCACATTGAGTTAGACTACCATTTTGTGCATAAAATGGTTGCTCTTAGATTACCTATCACTCGTTTTGTTTCCTCATATCTTCACCAAACCTTTGCCACAAGATGTTTTTCAAGATCTTTGCATCAAACTCGAGCTTCAAATGCCTCCCCAGCCGAGTTTGAGGGCGAGTAATAGAAACAAAATTAGGAAATTGTAACAAGATAGGAAAGTGTGTATTGCATATGACAAGATAAGAAATTGTATATTGCAGATGACAAGATAGTGAGGTGTATATTACACCATTGTATTATTATTATATATACAATGAAAGAACCACGACAAGATTAATGTGGGGCATAATTATTTTCTCAAAGAGTTCCTCTCTCTCTCTCTCTCTCTAAAATTCTTCATCTTGACCATCTATCTCAACCCTTGTTGCTTTCATTTTACTACCGTCTACAAGCTTAGCACTGCTTGATCCCTAGAATCCTTTAGGGACTCTTGCCTGAACATTCATTGGCTGATTATTCTCAACTCTTTCTACAATTTGATCTAGAGTTTGCCTATAGCTATTTTTTATTAGTTTCCTTGGATGCCAATTCTCCAATCAAATCTTGCCCATCCAAAACCTAGTAAAACATTTTAGAGGAAGCTCGGTTGAATTCTTCAAGCATCAGCTTCTTTCTCGATTGATGTCTGAAATTTAGCAGGGACTGATGAATGAGAGAAATTAAGGTTTTCAAGAGAAATTAAAACTTTGAAAGAGATGAGGATTTTTGAGAGATCAGGGAACAGAGAAGAGAATAAGGGGAAGAGAGAGAGAGAAAGAGAGAGGACACATATGTGAATAGTGCTGACATCAGCAAGAGAGAGCATAGAGATGAACCAAGAGTGAGACCGTGCGCCACAGGTTTCAATTTTCTGCTTCCCATGTGTGTGTGTATATATATATATATATATGATATTTGACTATGAGTTCATCCAAAGCACCCTTTCTTTATGGGACCAAGTATCATCCCTACAAATATTGCATCTGCTATGAGCACGTAAAAGCCTAACCAACCAAAGCAAAGTGGCAATCTCACACGGTATATGTTACATCATTACAGGATGCATGTAATGTGAGTATATTTGAATTTTGAGAAAGGCTCTTTCAGTATTTTCACTTTATAAGCACTTACACCAAGAGCAGTTAGCAAGAAGACGTACAAAACGAGGCCATGTATATTGAGGCGAGTATTGACCAGATCAGCGCAGCTATTAAAAGGTCAAAGGAAACCAGTTCTCCCTTAAGATATTTGAGGAACATTATTTATGTCCATCATGCACTTCAAATTTGTGTGCAGTGCCTCTTACAGATAAGTAAAGCATCCTCAGGGTCAACACCAAGGCACCAAGGGTTTTATATGCAGCACAATAGAAACCGAAGACGAAGTCGAAGATATTGCAGATATTGAGACTAATTCCAAGAAGAAATTCATTCAAGCAACTAGGAAAATTGGACTATTTTCTTTAACTCAAAATAAAGCAAGGATGATGATGATGATGAATGATTAAATGGATATTTAATCTTTCAGTAACTAATCAAGATGCTGTAAAAAGGAAGCCTTAAGAAAATATTGGTACAGGAATTAATTATCTTTAATTGCAAACAATGGAAGTCCAGAAAGCATCATGCAGTCCATTCTCATTTCTATGAGTATATATGCAAGAAAGAAAGAGCCCAAACATAGGATCCCAACAGAATAAAAAGCTTTTAGGAACCTAAACTACTAATCTGCCATATTAGAGCTTATAGAGGCAAAGGTGGGCTGGATACTCTAATGTCGAAATATGTACATCATGCATCGTGTATTTGAGGGTTAATGATCTTGTATAATAGGATAGCTAGAAACATATTGATACTACAACCGTATCATGAGATAAGGGACCTCTACAACCTTCCTATATATAAAATGCCGGTAGAGAATAAGTTCACTATCAAACTCGGCATTCAACAATAGGACCAAGCTAAGTTCAAAAAATCGCCCACCCAGCTGCCTGGGCAGCCAGCGGGACTCACTGTCCCGCTCTCGGGTTATACGGCCCTGGACGTGGCGATAGGCCAAGGCAGATGCCCGCCCTGGGCCCTTTTGGCGAGCCAAAAATAGGCCACACCAAAAAGGGATTTTTACTAATTTTCCCCCCTTGAAAAGGGGGGAAATAGGTTATGGGGGATATTTTGGCCCCCCAAAATCCTAGTGAGTGATTTTCCTCCCAAGAACACCTGTTTTTTACCCTGAATCTAAATTTTTTTGAAAATCGATTGCGAAACTCAGAGTTTTCAATTCTTGTGAAATCGAAAGGCATTCGACACGGATCTTTTTGGAGGCCAAAAAGGTTGCAAAAGAGAGGTTTTGGCATCCCAAAGGAAGCGACTGAAGCCTACTTCGATTGGGTTTTGAAAGGTTAGTAGATTTAAAAGTTTATGTTAAGGTTTTATTTTTTTTATGAGCATTGTATTATGTTATTTTTTTAAGGTAATTTTCTTGTGCAATTTTGGCATCACATTTATGGTGAAGCTTCTTCAGTTTTTTCTTTTTTTTTAGGAAGTCGCTTGCTACTTTGGTGATTATAACATGTGTTTAGGTATGTTTGGCTATGTTTCTACATCATAGTGCAAAATCAAAATTTTATAATATATTATGTGGAAAGATATGGGGACTTATGGCCTCACTGAGGGTATAGCCTTTAATAGAACAGAATGACGAACCAAGATTCCTATAGCCGACCCCAATTAATTGGGAAAAGACAATGATGATGATGATATGTTTGGCTTCTTTTCTAGCTTTTAATGCAAGACTGAAATTTATAATATATTTTTGTCTGTACTTTTTGGTTATGTTGATATTTTATAATGAAAAATTGACATTCGTAATCTATTTTAATGTATTTTTTGCTTTTGTTTATAATTTATGATGCAAAATTGAAAATATTACTATATGTTGACATATTTTTTGCCATGTTTACAATTTGTAATACGAAATTTGACAATTTACAATTTTATATTTTTAAATATGTAAATTTGTATTTTCCCTTAAATGGCTAATGGATGTCAAAATTTGGAAATTTTACAGTTTTATATTTTTAAGCATGCCCCCCTGTTTATAATTTATAATGCAAATTTGAAAATATTACTATTTGTTCCCATATTTTTTGCTATGTTTTAAATTTGTAATACAAAATTTGACAATTTACAGTTTTATAAGTTTGAAACATGTAAATTTGTATTTTCGCTTAAATGGCTAATGGATGTCAAAATTTGGCAATTTTACAGTTTCCTATTTTTAAACATGTAAATTTTAGTTTAGACGAAATTAGATCCCATAATTGACAAGCCCACCTTGACACACACACCCTCCCCGTGGCCGCCCAGACGATTGGGAACCCCAACTGCCTGGGCAGCCGTTTCCGTTTTCTTGAACTTTGGGACCAAGACTAGAGACTGACGATTAACTTTTCATTTAGTTTGTTGGATGCAGCAAGATAGTTATTAGTTACCAGCTATAAGTTTTTCTTTTTCTTTTTTTTTCTTATTTACCGAAAAGAACACCAGTCATGTGTTCCTTTTCTTCTTCTTTTTTCTATTGATAATTAAATTTGCTGGTTCATTAACCAGACATTATAATTATGCTCAATATATAAGCTACATAGCTACCACCTTTTGCCTAAGTTAACAAGAGATAGCATAATAGAAATACATTAGTATTTGTACTTGAGTAGACTATGAAATTTCTGATATTACAATCTGATGCAAGGTTATTTTGATAAGATTTTTATATAGTTGACTTGGGATTG